TCTTTGAACGATCAGGACACAGGACCTTATTACAGACAAGACATCCTTATTGTCTGAACAGACGGCTGTCACATGAAGCTGAGCTCCAGCATCACTGACATTATTCACAGACAACAGACTAGAGTCAGAGCATCATAAAGGAACATACGCCTCAGATGGAAATGACTGGAGTAAACTCAGGCCCTGTTTACACGGAGACGCTGCAAAGCAATTAGCAAAAACAGCCAGGCTCTGTATTCAAGTGCACACACACACACACAGACACAGGGTTATTGCAGACAAACACACACACACAGGGTTAATACAGGCACACAGACACACACAGGGTTATTACAGACACACACGCACACACACACACACTCACGCTGCTCCCACTGGATGTCTGTTCTGTCTGAACATGGGCCTCTGTCCTCTGCTCCTTCCCCAAACGCTCCTTCATCTCACAGTAAAAACACACCTCTCTCTGTCTAATCCCACTGGGCTTTGTACTCTCTCTCTTTGTACTCTCTCTCTTTAAGCCGTCTTTTTTAAACCTTGTCCGTGTGGATTCCATTGTGATTGGTCCTCTCTTTCCTGCACGTTCACCTTTCCCTGTAGCTTACAAGTTCCTTTCACTAAAACTGTGTAAAACTTCTTGTTCTGCCTCATTGTTTTTCTGCATCAGCTCCAGAGCGCCATCAGTCAGAGCACGTGGGCATTGCATCATGTTTCTGGGTTTTAATCCCATTGATCAAACAAAGTGGATTCATGTTTTGCTGATGGAGAAAAGCAGAGGTGGAAAAATAGATCCTTCCAGTGGTTGTAAAGAGATGAGGTCTTAAAGCCGGGGGACGTAACTTTCAAACCACAACCAAGGAATTCATAAAGTAACGCAGCACTGACTCCTGGAACGGTCTATTTACTGTTGTCCTTTTCACTCTCAGTCACAATTTTGGAGATTACGAATAAAAACACAAATACGTTTATATATATATATTACATTATTATGTTAGTCATACAACTGGGGGGCGGAGATTTCAGATCAGGGTCAGAGGTTCATTATTTGAACAGAGAAAAGAAACAGAGAAAGAACAAGATGTGTGTCAGAGAGGGAGAGGCCAGAGAGGGAGAGGCCAGAGAGGGAGAGGCCAGAGAGGGAGAGGCCAGAGAGGGAGAGGCCAGAGAGGGAGAGGCCAGAGAGAGAGGCCAGAGAGAGAGAGGCCAGAGAGAGAGAGAGAGGCCAGAGAGAGAGAGGCCAGAGAGGGAGAGGCCAGAGAGGGAGAGGCCAGAGAGGGAGAGGCCAGAGAGGGAGAGGCCAGAGAGAGAGAGGCCAGAGAGGGAGAGGCCAGAGAGGGAGACCAGAGAGAGAGACCAGATGATGAGAAAGACCAGAGAGAGACCCAAATAGAGTCCAGAGAAAGGGACCAGAGAGAGGGAGGGACCAGAAAGGGAGACCAGAGAGAGAGACCACAGAGAGATGTCAGAGGACAAGAAAGACCAGAGAGAGGGAGGGAAAAGGAGGGAAAAGGTTTCACACAAATTAAAAAGCAGTGATCTTTGTAATCTCCCAAATATGGACTAAACTGTTCTTTACTGTGTCTGTTTAATATAATAATTCTAACTTCTCCACATTCCTTCTCTCTCTCCCTCTCCCCTCTCCCCTCTCTCTCCCTCTCCCCTCTCCCTCTCTCTCTCTCTCCCTTCTCTCCCTTCTTTCTCTCCTCTCTCTCTCTCTCCCTCTCCCCTCTCTCTCTCTCTTCCTCTCTCTCTCCTCTCTTCTCTCTCTCTCCTCTCTTCTCTCTCTCTCCCCTCCCTCTCTCCCTTCTCTCTCTCTCTCTCTCTCTCTGTCTCTCTCTCTGAAGCCTTAGCTGCAGACGCCTCCTGCATGAGGACCGGCTGCTTTCTCTCCGCCGTCTACAGCTTTCACTTCTGTTTTCAAACCGGAAAATCTTCTCCCTTCGCTTTAACAACACTGGCATATGGGCAAAGTGTAACCAAGAGCTGTTTCTGCAAATATCACCATTATCATTATTATTATTATTATTGTTCATACTTGACCCATTTATACCTGTGATTAACCTGCATATGACTTTGTTCTGGTGTGTTCTCAAAGTGCATATGACTGGACTTTGTGTTTCTGATCGGGAAGAAGTGTACAAATATTTATCTTAGTTTTTCATATCGTAGATAATTATCAGACAGAAGGTTTGGAAATGGAAGCTCAGAAGAGAGACCAGAGAAAAAAGACCAGAGAGATCAGAGAGAGATCAGAGAGAGACCAGAGAGAGACCAGAGAGAGACCAGAGAGAGACCAGAGAGAGACCAGAGAGAGACCAGAGAGAGACCAGAGAGAGACCAGAGAGAGACCAAACCGTTTGATTCTCTGATCTGTATATTTTAATCATAAACTTAGTGTTTTCCCCGGTCATATGCACTTCCGCTCCTCTAACCTCTTGCGCTGACTTCGTTTTAAGCTGCTGATCTTGAGTAAATGTTTTTCCGCATGCATGTGATGTTCTGGCTTCTCTCCTCTCTAACCCTGTTGTTCTGTACATAATAAAACTGTGATCTCTCCTCCTGTTTGTCTTCTTCTGCTTCTGCTAACGACGTCATCAAAGCTAAAGTCGTTATAGTCGCTTCATTTGGTCGGCTTTGTCACAGGAGGATTGTTTTTTGATGATAGATTTGAATTCACAGTTCTTTATAAACAGAACAGGCTGCGGATAGAGCCAGCCTAATTACATGCTGGATAAGTGCCCTCAGGACTATGAACCAGGAGGAGGGGGCTGGTTTACTGTCTCATACCTGGGATTCTGTTCTGAACATGTCGGAGAGAGAGAGACCAGAGGGAGAAAGATTAGAGAGAGAGGGACCAAAGCGAGAGATTAGAGAGAGGGGGACCAGAGAGAGAGAGACCAGAGAGAGCAACTAGAGACCAGAGAAAGACCAGAGAGAAAGAGGGACCAGCGAGAGAGACAAGAAACATTAGAAAGAGAGGGACCAAAGTGTGAAGTGATGGAACAGAGAGAGAGAGAGGGACCTGCAATAGAGAGACCAGAGAGAAAGGAACCAGAGAGAGAGGGACCAGCGAGAGAGACCAGAGAAAGGTTTTGAACATTTTCACTGCCTAAAGTTTGCATTGGTCTGATATAAGTCCCTCTCTCTCTTCACTGTGGACCATGAGTTTGTTTATGGTCTGGTTTTGAGCTCTGGGATTAAGTCGACAAAATGAACCCTGACAAGGACTTAAAAGCATCTAACGTCTAATCTAACATCCGGTTCTAATCTCTTCAAGTATGTCCTCAGTGCATCGTCCTGCGTCACATGACTTTAGGTTCTCACACTGTTTTACATTTGACCTATCACCAAGAGTTATTAAAACCATTATTAAAAAACCTTAAATATTACCGTAATCTCTGGACTCTTAAGCCACTACTTTTTTCTACTTGTTAGATCGCTGCAGCTTATATAGCAATGCGGCTGATGTGTGAATTTGTATTATTATTACAGTGGTAGAGTAGGACTGTTGGACAAGTTTTAGTAGCTGTAGGACACTGTATTGTCAAAATGGATGAAGGTGAATGAGTCGTGGAAGCTAACGCAGGTCTAAAGCAGGACGAAAGCAGGACTAAAGCAGGACTAAAGCAGGTCCGTTTCTTCAGGACGGCTCTGGTTCTCTGAAGAGGAGTGGATCGTTCAGTAAACTCCGCGCTTCTCTTCGTCGCAGCAGCGAGAAACTGGTGCGAAAACTGAAAGGCGGAGCGTCCAGAGAGGAGCCCAAGAACTCTGGGTTAGTGTCTGTGTGTGCGTGTGTGTCTGTGAGTTTGTGCATGTGTGTGCGCGCACGCGCGCGTCTGTGTATGTGTGTGTGCATGTCTGTGTGTGTGTTTGTGTGTCCATGCGTGCGTCTGTCTGTGTGTGTGTGTATGCGCGTGCGCGTCTGTGTCTCTGTGAGTCAGTGTATGTGTCTCTGTGTGCGTCAGTGTATGTGTTTGTGTGTGTGTGTGCGCATGTGTGTGTGTGTGTGTGTGTTACAGCCCTTATCATCCTCATTGATGTAACAGTAAATGTGATCTAACTCATTTAAATGTCACTATGTCCATAACCCTCCATTGAGCTAACCCCTCACCTGTCTCACCCCCTCCCCCATGGTCTCAACCCCTCCCTCCTGGTCTCACCCCCTGCCCCCTGGTCTCACCCCCTGCCCCCTGGTCTCACCCCCCTCCTGGTGCATGTGACACTGGGGCAGCATGAAGCGTGCCAGCTCCATGGGTTTTCTCAATGTGTTGGACAGAGCTGCACCAGAACTGCACCAAGTAAGAACCAAACTACTGCCTTAAGTCTCAGAGTCTGGGGGAGTCTTCAAACCCTCTCTGCACATGGTCTCTCTCTCAGATCGCTCTCTGGTCTCTCTCTGGTCTCTCTCTGGTCTCTCTCTGGTCTCTCTCTGGTCTCTCCCTTGTTCCTTTTCTGGCCTCTGGTTTCTCCCTCTGCTCTCTCTAGTCTCTCTCTCTAATCTCACTGGTGTTTCTCACTGGTCTCTTTCTTGTCTCTCTAATTTATCTCTCCTCTCTTTCTGGTCTCTCTCTGGTCTCTCTCTGGTCTCTCTCTCTGGTCTCTCTCTCTGGTCTCTCTCTGGTCTCTCTCTGGACTAGTGCCGCTGCAGTTGAGCCTGCATGAAAATCAAACTAGCTCTAAGTACCAACATGTAAGATTACATTTGACAAAAGTGTGTCCTACAGTTTTATATGAGACACATTCTATTTACAATTACTGGTCCAAAGTGAGAGAGCTGTGGCAAAGTTACAGCAGCAACCGGCTCCATCGGCTCTGGACCTCAGTGGTCAGACCGGTTTGGCTCCATCGGCTCTGGACCTCAGTGGTCAGACCGGTTTGGCTCCATCGGCTCTGGACCTCAGTGGTCAGACCGGTTTGGCTCCATCGGCTCTGGACCTCAGTGGTCAGACCGGTTTGGCTCCATCGGCTCTGGACCTCAGTGGTCAGACCGGTTTGGCAGCAGCACCAGCTCCTTATCCATCTGCTCAGTAAACCTTTTTGTTTTTGTGTTTTAGTTTTTAGAAGGAAAGTGCAGATAATGAGACTCTTTCAGGCCATCTGTCCGTTCTAACATCACCCACACTCTCGTAACAACATCTCAAACCCTCCACAAATAAACTTTTCGCCAAATAATTGTGCTTTCTGTTTGTCAGGAGCGAAATCATCGTCTGAAGAGGAGCGACCTGAGTGCCAGCTCCACCAACCTGCTGCTCTGACGCACAAACGCCGTCAGATCCTCGCACTTTGAACGCAGCCAGACGAACATCTACTGTAAATTAACTAAACACGTGTGAGTTTTTCGCTGCTTTTGGGTCAAAAATACTGAAATACGTCCGAGATATGAGTTTACATTAAAGCACGCGTTTAGAAAGTTACCAAAAAAGGAACGACTTGAACACGTTTTTGTAGGAAGAAAAACACTGGAGCTTTGTGTCTGCCTGAGCTTGAAGAAACAGTTTCCAGATGAAGTTGAAACTCGTCTGAACTTGTATCTGTGTCCAATCAGAAGAATAGATTTATATTTATGATTAAAAACGCAAGCGGCATTGTAGGGCCCTCATCCCTCCCTGTATGCTGTAGCAGACAACACATTGGACTAGCTCCCTCTCTAGTCTCCCTCTCTCACTGGTCACTCTCTCTTGTCTCTCACTGGTCTCTCTTTGGTCTCTCTTGTCTTTCTGGTTTCTCTCTCGTCGCTGTCTCCTTCTCTCTGGTCTCTTTCTAGTCTTTCTCTCTCTCTCTGGTCTCTCACTGGTCACTCTCTCTTGTCTCGCTCTCTGGTCTCTCACTGGTTTCTCTCTAGTCTTTCTCTCTCTCTCTGGTCTCTCACTGGTCACTCTCTTGTCTCTCTCTCTGGTCTCTCTCTAGTCTCTCTATTTGATCTCTCTCTCTGGTCTCTCTTTAGAATAAACTTATTTCTGTGTCCAACCAGAAGAAAAATATGTATATATATTTATGATTTAAAAACGCAAGCGGCTTTGTAGGGCCCTCATCCTCCCTGTATGCTGTAGCAACCTACACATTGGACTGATGATGATGATACCGGACTTCTGTGACTTCTCGCACACAAGAAAACCTTAATATGGACGTTTGTTAGCGCCCAATAACCAGCGGATTAGGGTGAACTAAATCCTATTTTTGAGAAAGGACCTTAGTGAAAATGGTAACTTTCTAAAGAACAATGAGTTGAGATACGAAAGCCTTGTTCCATAGTGCGGATGTTTTTGAAGTGAATTTGAGCGTTTTTCAAATGTAAAAATTGAGAAATGTTTAAAACCGTTTACTGTTACATGCAACAGACGTGCTTACGTGTTTTTAACTGGAAACTATTTATGCAACGTTTATTTTATGAGTTTTATGAAGTCGACCAAAACTACAGAGGGTTTAAGAAGCGGGAGGAAAGGTTTTTACTGTTGTTTTTGTCTGTGATCTGAATGTGTGGATGGATTGTTACTACGGGTGGGAATGAGGAATGAGGATTCGATAGTATTGTGATATTTTGGGAGACACGGCGAGTATCGTGATTCGATTCTGCGGTTTATTGCGATTTACGTCCCTCATGTTATTCAAAGGGGTCACAGAAATACCAGAGAGAATACATTTAATTGCGTGTGAAAAATATCGCGATACTGAACAGAATCGATTTTTCCCACCACTAGTCGTTACTATGCAGATGTCGTTGGGCCTCAACTGAGAGAATGTTCCAGAACGAGGCCTGTTTTTGAAGCACATGTCGAAGTTCTCCGAAGGATTTGACCATTTTGCCTGTATTTGTAAATGTTTGCTTTTGCACTGGAACAAACAAAAACAAGTGTCTTTTTTATGCTAGAGTCTATCGCCGACTGTTGACCGGTCTTTCCTGAAGTTAGGAACGCCCTAAATACGTGTTCTATTGTGAGAGTTATGAGGCACATATTGGACAAGTTTGGAGAGAAACCCACAACGTTTGAGTCACGGACAACTGGGAAAAATGTATAATACACTGGTTTATGACGGGGGTGATGTGTTCTAAAAATACACTTTATACACTTCTCTAATCACCTGAAGTCACTACTGCTGAAGAGAGAGAGACCAGAGAGAGAGACCAGAGAGAGACCAGAGGCAGTGGTCAGAGAAAGAGAGAGACCAGAGAGTCCAAAAACATCATTTAAACATAATATAACAGCTACTAACATGACAGTTACTTTTAATCAAAGTCAGAACTAAACTTTTTGTGTGCACCGCAGTGATTAGTCTCTCTCTGGTCTCTCTCTGGTCTCTCTGGTCTCTCTCTGGTCTCTCTGGTCTCTCTCTGGTCTCTTTCTCTGTCTCCCTCCCTGGTCCCCCTGCTCTCTCTGGTCTCTCTGGCCTCTCCCTGGTCTCTCCCTGGTCTCTCTCTGGTCTCTCCCTGGTCTCTCTCTTGTCTCTCTCTGGTCTCTCCCTGGTCTCTCCCTTGTCTCTCTCTGGTCTCTCCCTGCTCTCTCTCTCTGGTCCCCTGGTCTCTCCCTGGTGCCTCCCTGGTCGCTCTCCCTGGTCTCTCCCTTGTCTCTCTCTCTCCCCTGCTCTCTCTCTCTGGTCCCCTGGTCTCTCCCTGGTGCCTCCCTGGTCGCTCTCCCTGGTCTCTCCCTTGTCTCTCTCTCCCTGCTCTCTCTCTCTGGTCCCCTGGTCTCTCCCTGGTGCCTCCCTGGTCGCTCTCCCTGGTCTCTCCCTTGTCTCTCTCTGGTCTCTCCCTGCTCTCTCTCTCTGGTCCCCTGGTCTCTCCCTGGTGCCTCCCTGGTCGCTCTCCCTGGTCTCTCCCTTGTCTCTCTCTCCCTGCTCTCTCTCTCTGGTCCCCTGGTCTCTCCCTGGTGCCTCCCTGGTCGCTCTCCCTGGTCTCTCCCTTGTCTCTCTCTGGTCTCTCCCTGCTCTCTCTCTCTGGTCCCCTGGTCTCTCCCTGGTGCCTCCCTGGTCGCTCTCCCTGGTCTCTCCCCTGTGCCTCAGTTGCATGTTTACATAAGGTCTGTGTTGAAAGCGTTGATGGTTTTTCTCCAGTGTGAGTTTGTAAAGATGAATGTAAATATTGTGTTGAATTCCACTTCTGTAAATGTGTTCATAATAATAATAATAATAATAATAATAATATTGAGAAACGTGTCTGTTCTGCTTCTGGATCCTGTTACCAATGAATAAAGACTGTTTCGACTCTGACTGACGTCCTTTAAAAAGTGATTCTGTTTGGGTAATGTCAGTGTTGCAGCGTAGTATCAGCAGCAACAAAAATAATGATTACAACACTTCTAGTCTCACTGGTCTCTCTCTCGTCTTTCTGGTCTCTAGTCTCTCCCTCTGGTCCCTCTTTGGTCTCCTCTGGTCTCTATCTCTGGTCTCTCTGGTCCCTCTTTGGTCTCTCTCTGGTCCCTCTTTGGTCTCACTCTGGTCTCTATGTCTGGTCTCTCTGGTCCCTCTTTGGTCTCTCTCTGGTCCCTCTTTGGTCTCACTCTGGTCTCTATGTCTGGTCTCTCTGGTCCCTCTTTGGTCTCTCTCTGGTCCCTCTCTGGTCCCTCTTTGGTCTCTCTCTGGTCCCTCTTTGGTCTCTCTCTGGTCCCTCTCTGGTCCCTCTTTGGTCTCTCTCTGGTCCCTCTTTGGTCTCTCTCTGGTCTCTATCTCTGGTCTATCTCTGGTCTCTCTCTGGTCCCTCTTTGGTCTCTATCTCTGGTCTCTCTCTGGTCCCTCTTTGGTCTCTCTCTGGTCTCTATCTCTGGTCTCTCTCTGGTCCCTCTTTGGTCTCTCTCTGGTCTCTCTCTGGTCTCTCTCTGGTCCCTCTCTGGTCTCTCTCTGGTCCCTCTTTGGTCTCTCTCTGGTCCCTCTTTGGTCTCTCTCTGGTCTCTCTCTCTGGTCTCTCTCTGGTCCCTTTTTGGTCTCTCTTTCTCGCTCTAACCCAACCAGAAGAAACAAAATATATACAGTATATCTGATTTAAAACGGCATTGTAGGGCCCTCATGGGAAAGCGCAGTATGAGAACAGTAGCAACAAAAGCAGCTTTAAAACAAGAACTCAGCAAAAATAATTATTACAATATCATGAAAAGAATCAATGAAAATATAGATATGTTTGAGAGAAGCAGAAGTCACTGGTTATCGTTTCACTTCACATTTGTGCTTCCCTCGAGTTATGATTAAAAGTAGTAGACTTTTTTTAAAATTAGGGTCTAAAAAGGTCTAAATGATCCAGGGCTGGGCAAGCTAGGAAAAGAAAATCTAAATTCTGCAAGAAAGAAAATGATTATGTTCATTTAACTGGGGGGAGATGGGACACGGTTTGTGAATGAGGAAAAGTTCCGAGGGCCAAGAACCGTGAATCTCGGCCGCATGTGGCCCCTGGGCCGCACTTTGTCCAGATCTGTCTTTGAGCCAAGACTTCTGAATGAGGTGAGTAGTGTGGGGTATATTCATATTGTGTCTTTGTGGTTCAGGGTCTCTCTCTCCCTGGGGTCTCTTTCTCTCTTGTCTCTCTCTTTGGTCCCTCTCTGGGGTCTCTCTCTGGTGCCTCTGTCTGGGGTCTCTCTCTCTGGTTTCTCTCTCTCTGGGGTCTCTCTCTCTGGTTTCCCTCTCTCTGGGGTCTCTCGCTCTGGTTTCTCTCTCTCTGGTTCTCCTCTGGGGTCTCTCTTTCTGGTTTCCCTCTCTCTGGGGTCTCTCTTTGGTGCCTCTCTCTGGGGTCTCTCTCTGGTGCCTCTGTCTGGGGTCTCTCTCTCTGGTGCCTCTCTCTGGTTTCTCTCTCTCTGGGGTCTCTCTCTCTGGTTTCTCTCTCTCTGGTTCCCCTCTCTCTGGGGTCTCTCTCTCTCTGGTCTCTCTCTGGACTAGTGCCGCTGCAGTTGAGCCTGCAGCGGCACTAGTTCTCTGGTTCTCCTCTGGGGTCTCTCTTTCTGGTTTCCCTCTCTCTGGGGTCTCTCTCTGGTTTCTCTCTCTCTGGTTTCCCTCTCTCTGGGGTCTCTCTCTGGTGCCTCTCTCTGGTTTCTCTCTCTCTGGTGCCTCTCTCTGGGGTCTCTCTCTCTGGTTCCTCTCTCTCTGCGGTCTCTCTCTGGTTTCTCTCTCTCTGGTGCCTCTCTCTGCGGTCTCTCTCTGGTTTCTCTCTCTCTGGTGCCTCTCTCTGGGGGTCTCTCTCGTGTGTCTCTGGTGCCTCTCTGGTTTCTCAATGGTGTATTTTTTTGTGAATTGACAACTTAGTAAAGTCCTCCTCGACCATAAAGGGAGATACTTAAATACATTAAATTGAATCGTTACATTTCTGTCTCTGTAGTTTTGGATTTTTTTCAGCTCTTTCTCTTTGTGTATTTTTTTATTTTTTTTGGACCGATCGATAAAAAACCAAAACATTCCACAACGCTGCTCGTGATCCAGGACTCCTCCCTGCGCTCTGATTGGTCCAGCCCCCCTCCCTTTGCTCTGTGATTCGCTAGAGCCGCTGTCTGTCATGGCTCCGAGGGATGGGCTCTGGGGTGCCAGGTCGGTAACTTTACAGCACATATGAGAGAGCAGCTTCACACAGACGCGAAACAAGAAGATTTTTGTCAAGTTTGGGCAGAAAGCGTTCATTATTATTAAGAACAAAGAGGAACGACGTAATCTGTGTCTGTGTCACAGTTTATATTGTGTTAATAATCATTAACATATTCCTACGGGACAATTATAATGTAGAATGACAAGTGTGTGTCTGTGTTTATGTGTGTGTCTCTCCCTCTGTATGTGTGTGTGTATGTCTATGTATGTGTGTCTTTTTCTCGCTCTCTGTATATGTCTCTCTCTGTATGTATATGTGTTTGTCTCTCTCTTTCTATATGTGTGTGTCTCTCTCTGTATAAGTGTGTGTGTCTCTGAATATGTGTGTTTCTCTCTGTATATGTGTGTGTGTCTCTGAATATGTGTGTCTCTTTGTATATGTGTGTGTCTCTCTCTGTATGTATGTGTTTGTCTCTCTCTTTTTTATATGTGTGTCTCTCTCTGTATAAGTGTGTGTGTCGCTGTATGTGTGTGTCTCTCTGTATATGTGTGTGTGTCTCTGAATATGTGTGTCTCTCTTTGTATATGTGTGTGTCTCTCTGTATGTATATATGTTTGTCTCTCTCTTTTTTTATATGTGTGTCTCTCTCTGTATAAGTGTGTGTGTCGCTGTATGTGTGTGTCTCTGTATATGTGTGTGTGTCTCTGAATGTGTGTGTCTCTCTTTGTATATGTGTGTGTCTCTCTCTGTATGTATATGTGTTTGTCTCTCTCTGTATAAGTGTGTGTGTTGCTGTATGTGTGTGTCTCTCTTTGTATATGTGTGTGTCTCTGTATATGTGTGTCTCTCCCTCTGTATATGTGTGTGTGTTTCACTTTGTGTATGTGTGTGTCTCTCCCTCTGTATATGTGTGTGCCTCTCTGTATATGTGTGTGCCTCTCTGTATATATGTGTGTGTGTCTCTCCCTCTGTATATGTGTGTGTGCCTCTCTGTATATGTGTGTGTGCCTCTCTCTGTATATGTGTGTGTGTCTCCCTCTCTCAGTATATTTGTCTCTCTGTATATGTGTGTGTGTCTGTATATGTGTGTGTCTCTCTCCCTCTGTATATGTGTGTGTGTCTCTCTCTCTGTGTACGAGTGTGTGTCTGTATATGTGTGTGTCTCTCTCTCTCTGTATATGTGTGTGTCTCTCTCCCTCTGTATATGTGTGTGTGTCTCTGTGTACGAGTGTGTGTCTGTATATGTGTGTGTCTCTCTCTCTCTGTATATGTGTGTGTCTGTATATGTGTGTGTGTCTCTCTCTGTGTACGAGTGTGTGTCTGTATATGTGTGTGTGTCTCTCTCTGTCTACAAGTGTGTGTTAAGTTTACAAACATTTCACATTACGATAAACAAACCTTTCTTGTTCCCAGAGTGCACAACTTTCAGAATTCAGAAATGCAACTTATAATCAGACGTTTAAAATTAAGATTTAAATCTCAGGTACCTAACTTTTTGTTCATTAACACATGTAGTTCGTCAGAGTCTTTCAAAAGTACATGTCTTCAGACCACAACATGCTTTGAAGAAGCCGTGTGAGTCAATATTGGACTCCTCGGGCTGAGAGCTCAACGGACACACTTTAGATCAGCCCTCATTAGTAACGGCTAATTAAGTACTAAACCACAGGGGAACGCGTCAGTCGTTTGCTAAATGTTGAATACGGCTATGTAGAATAAGGACTAATAAATGCTGTCAGACTGTACAATGAGTCACTAATGCACTAGGACTGAAAAACATGCACTGCTATTGCCACTCTTTCTTTTATTTCTTTTTTATTATTGAACATAATTATATCCTGCACAAACTATATCTTTAACCTTATCATGATTCACACTTCCGTCTTTTGCACCATCAGTGATTTCTATGTACATTTCTCCAGTGTGAGATCAATAAAGACTATCTTATCTCATCTTAATAAACACCAATGAACAGCTAATTAACCGTAAACTATACATTAATAAGCTGTTAATTAGGGAGGGCTAAACTGAAGTGTGACCGAAGCAGCTGAAAGACCCAGAACCAAGAGACACGGGTTTAATACATGTGGTTTGAGAGTTAGGTCCCCCAGCTTTAACTCAGATGTTTTTCTTTCTCCCCTCGGTCTGTTTCGCGTGTTTCTGCCCGTGACTCTGGCTCCCCCCGCGCCTCCTGCAGCTGTCTCTCCCCGCTCCTCGGAGCCTCTTCTGCGGGTGTCATGTCGTCCTCTCTCCCCGAGGGTAAGAAGTTGGTCCGGAGCCCGAGCGGCCTCCGCATGGTCCCGGAGAGCGGGGCCTTCCACAGCCCCTTCAGCCTGGAGGAGCCGCGCTGGGTTCCGGACAGAGAGGTACGTGACTGTGCGTGATGTGCGTGACAGGCGCCATGATGAGAGCCGTGTATGGTCAAGCTAGCGGCTAACAGGATAGCACCACTTCCGGTTTCACAAAAAGAGTCTTGGCTAGTACCAGTTTCTGTGTTGCATAAATGGCTCAAAATATTGTTCAAGGGACTCTCTGCCCTCTCTTTATCTGGGCTCTCTTTTCCCCCTCTGGTGTCTCTCTCTGGTGTCTCTCTCTCTTTTCCCCCTCTGGTGTCTCTCTCCCTGGTGTGTCGGTCTCTGATATAGATATATATATCTATATCTATATCTATATATATATATATAGATATAGATATAGATATATATATCTATATCGCTCTCGCCATGACAGAATCTGTGAGTGAATAATCAGTGTTTTATTGTGAAAGTCCCGCTCTGCTGCGTCTGCTGCTTGACTGTTGTTTTGGGCGTTTAGGGCGCAGCTGGGACTGAGCAAAAGTGACAAAAACAACTCTGTCTCTTTCTCTGGTCACTCTCAGATTCATTTATTTGCCATTTGCCATTTCTCTCTCTGGTCTCTCTTTCTCTCTGGTCTTCTCTTGCTTTCCACTGTGAGACGACTAAAGATTTTCTTCTTCTTCTTCCTCTTCCTCCTCTTCTTCTTCTGTCTAGTGGTGAGTTTGTTTTGGCTTGGACTGGATCCAGTGAAAGTGGAACACTGGACTCTGACCATGAACCTCAGTGAAACCTCCACATTCAACACTTTTATTTATACAAACATAAATAGATTCTCTCACTTTACTTTCACTTCACTCGTCACTTTGTTGATGGTATTGTCTTTGAAGTTGGTGCCTGCTGCTGGTACCTGCTGCTGGTGCCTGCTGCTGGTGTGATGGCTGATTCCTGGTCTCTTCCTGTTTGCAGTGTTCCAGGTGTATGCAGTGTGACACCAAGTTTGACTTCATCAGAAGAAAGGTCTGATCACTCAAGTCTGGTCTCTCTCTGGTCTCTCTCTGGTCTCTCTCTGGTCTCTCTCTGGTCTCTCTCTGGTCTCTCTCTGGTCTCTCTCTGGTCTCTCTCTGGTCTCTCCCTCTGGTCTCTCCCTCTGGTCTCTCCCTCTGGTCTCTCCCTCTGGTCTCTCTCTGGTCTCTCCCTCTGGTCTCTCTCTTGTCTCTCTCTGGTCTCTCCCTGGTCTCTCCCTCTGGTCTCTCTTTGGTCTCTCTCTCTGGTCTCTCTCTCGTCTCTAACTGGTCTCTCTCTGCTCTCTCTCTGCCCTATCTCTCGGTGCGCTCTCTCTCTGACCTCTCTCTTGGTGTGCTCTCTCGCTCTCTTTCTCTCTCTGTGTGCTCTCTCCTGCCCCCTGGTTTCTCTCTCTGACCTCTCTTTTCTTGATGTGCTCTCTCTCTGACCACTCTCTCTCTCTCTCTGTGTGCTCTCTCCTGCCCCCTGCAGCACCACTGTCGCCGCTGCGGCCGCTGCTTCTGTGATAAATGCTGCAGTAAGAAGCAGTCGTTGCCGCGGATGTGCTTCGTGGACCCGGTCAGACAGTGCTCGTGCTGCAACCTCCTGTCGCAGCGAGAGGCTGACTTCTACGACAAGCAGCTCAAGATCCTGCTTCAAGGTCCGCCCCACACAGTGTCTGATGGTCTGAGGTGCTTGATGGTCCGAGGTGCCTGATGGTCCGAGGTGCCTGATGGTCTGAGGTGCCTGATGGTCCGAGGTGCCTGATGGTCCGAGGTGCCTGATGGTCCGAGGTGCCTGATGGTCCGAGGTGCTTGATGGTCCGAGGTGCTCGATGGTCAGAGGTGCCTGATGGTCTGAGGTGCTTGATGGTCCGAGGCGCCTGATGGTCCGAGGCGCCTGATGGTCCGAGGCGCCTGATGGTCTCAGGTGCCTGATGGTCCGAGGCGCCTGATGGTCTCAGGCGCCTGATGGTCTCAGGTGCCTGATGGTCCGAGGCGCCTGATGGTCTCAGGTGCTTGATGGTCCGAGGTGCTTGATGGTCTCAGGTGCTTGATGGTCTCAGGTGCTTGATGGTCTCAGGTGCTTGATGGTCTCAGGTGCTTGATGTTCTCAGGTGCTTGATGGTCCGAGGTGCTTGATGGTCTGTGTTCTGCAGGTGGAACCTTCGCTGTGACTTTGGGAACTTCAGACAAAACTGAAGCCATGACGTGTCGCCTTTCCAACAATCACAGGTGAAGCAGTACTACGATTACTTTAAAATGAGGTAGTAGTAGTAGAAGCAGTAGTAGTGGCAGTAGTAGTATCAGTAGCAGTAGTAGTAGTATCAGTAGCAGCAGTAGTAGTAGTAGTATCAGTAGTAGTAGCAGTAGTAGCAGTAGCAGTTGTAGTAGTTGCAGCAGTGGTAGTAGTAGTAGTAGTATCAGTAGTAGTAGCAGTAGTAGCAGTAGCAGTGGTAGCAGTAGTAGTAGCAGCAGTAGTAGTTGCAGCAGTGGTAGCAGTAGTAGCAGCAGTGGTAGCAGTAGTAGCAGTAGTGAGCCACATGTAGTTCCATGTCTGAGCACAAGAGGGCACTGTTTGCTTCAGCCTCATGTGTTCTGCCTGAGGAATAAAGTGGATTATATTTTCAGGTGTGAATGAGGCCACAGTGAGAGCATGTGTGTTGTCAGTAGTTGTGTGTTGTCAGTAGTTGTGTGTTGTCAGTAGTTGTGTTTTGTCAGTAGTTGTGTGTTGTCAGTAGTTGTGTGTTGTCAGTAGTTGTGTTTTGTCAGTAGTTGTGTGTTGTCAGTAGTTATGTGTGTTGTCAGTAGTTGTGTTTTGTCAGTTGTTGTGTGTTGTCAGTAGTTATGTGTGTTGTCAGTAGTTGTGTTTTGTCAGTTGTTGTGTGTTGTCAGTAGTTATGTGTGTTGTCAGTAGTTATGTGTGTTGTCAGTAGTTATGTGTGTTGTCAGTAGTTATGTGTGTTGTCAGTAGTTATGTGTGTTGTCAGTAGTTATGTGTGTTGTCAGTAGTTATGTGTGTTGTCAGTTGTTGTGTGTTGTCAGTTGTTGTTGTCTGTTGTCAGGTATCTGTTCCTGGACGGAGAGAGTCACTTCGAGGTGGAGCTGATGCGGATCAGCAGTATCCAGGTTCTGACGCAGGGATCCAGTCCAGACGGTAAATACCAGAGACCAGAGAGAGAGAGACCAGAGAGAGAGAGAGAGAGACCAGAGAGAGAGAGAGAGACCGATCAGAGAGAGACCAGAGAGAGAGAGAGAGACCAGAGAGAGAGACCACAGAGAAAGAGACCAGAGAGAGAGAGACCAGAGGACCAAGGGGAGCAGAGATTAAACAAACATCTGATCCATGTCTTCAGTCCGACCGCGTGGAAGCTCTCGCTAACTCTACTCACCTCCTTTTCCTCCTCACCTCTTCCACCTTACCTCCTCACCTCCTCCCCTCATCTCCTCTTCCTCCTCACCTCTTCCTCCTCACCTCCTCCCCTCACCTCCTCCTCCTCTTGTTCCTGCTGCAGAGGAGGACCTGCAGACTTACACCAGTCTGACGGACAGTCCGTGTTTCTACGAAGGTTTGATTCTGTGTCAAATGTTTTCATGACGTCACTTCATCGAGTCCTAACCATCTGTCTCCATAGCAACGCTGTCTATTTACTGTGAGCTGGCAGGCCATAGAGCGAGCGAGAGAGGCCATAGAGCGAGAGAGAGGCCATAGAGCGAGAGAGAGAGGCCATAGAGCGAGAGAGAGGCCATAGAGCGAGAGAGAGAGGCCATAGAGCGAGAGAGAGGCCATAGAGCGAGAGAGAGAGGCCATAGAGCGAGAGAGAGGCCATAGAGCGAGAGAGAGGCCATAGAGCGAGAGAGAGAGGCCATAGAGCGAGAGAGAGGCCATAGAGCGAGAGAGAGAGGCCATAGAGCGAGCGAGAGAGGCCATAGAGCGAGAGAGAGGCCATAGAGCGAGAGAGAGAGGCCATAGAGCGAGAGAGAGGCCATAGAGCGAGAGAGAGAGGCCATAGAGCGAGAGAGAGAGGCCATAGAGCGAGAGAGAGAGGCCATAGAGCGCGAGAGAGAGGCCATAGAGCGCGAGAGAGAGGCCATAGAGCGCGAGAGAGAGGCCATAGAGCGCGAGAGAGAGGCCATAGAGCGCGAGAGAGAGGCCCGAGAGAGCATAGGCGCGAGAGAGAGGCCATAGAGCGCGAGAGAGAGGCCATAGAGCGCGAGAGAGAGGCCATAGAGCGAGAGAGAGAGGCCATAGAGCGAGAGAGAGAGGCCATAGAGCGAGAGAGAGAGGCCATAGAGCGAGAGAGAGAGGCCATAGAGCGAGAGAGAGAGGCCATAGAGCGAGAGAGAGAGGCCATAGAGCGAGAGAGAGAGGCCATAGAGCGAGAGAGAGAGGCCATAGAGCGAGAGGGGGCCATAGAGCGAGAGGGGGCCATAGAGCGAGAGAGAGGCCATAGAGCGAGAGGGAGAGGCCATAGAGCGAGAGAGAGAGGCCAGAGAGCGAGAGAGGAGGACCAGAGAGCGAGAGAGGGGCGAGAGAGGGGCCAGAGAGCGAGAGAGGAGCGAGAGAAGGGCGAGAGAGGGGCCAGAGCGCGAGAGAGGGGCCAGAGAGCGAGAGAGAGAGAGAGAGCGAGGCCAGAGGGCGAGAGAGAGGCCAAAGAGCGAGAGAGAGAGAGAGAGCGAGGCCAGAGAGGGAGAGATGGGGCATAACATCACTGTCTTTTTGGTGTGAGGCTGAAGCAGAGGGCGCCCCCTGCTGTGTGAGAGGAAGCAGTGTGTGTAGCTGCGGGGCCTTCGACGCCGCTTGCAGATGTAACTGTTCTGTGGTTTCAGGGGCGGGGTCTCGAGCGTCTGGTCTGCAGCTGCAGTTTAGACCCGTGTCGTCTCAGGACTCACAGACGCTCAGACTCACCACCTGCTCCGACCACAAGGGGGCAGCACTGTGGCTGGCTGCCATGCATAAGGTCAGAGAGCACTCGGAGAGCACATACCCCGCCAACAACACTGCAGTGAGACCAGAGAGAGGGAGAGACCAGAGAGAGGGAGAGACCAGAGAGAGGGAGAGACCAGGGAGAGGGAGAGACCAGAGAGAGGGAGAGACCAGAGAGAGGGAGAGACCAGAGAGAGGGCGAGACCAGACCCTCGTAGAGCACATACCCTGCCAACACGATCATGTTTCAGAACTTTTAGTCAAAGTAAATTCAGTTTTTTGGTATAAAATCTAATCTTAAAATGTTTCTGTTTTTCAGGCGGCAAAGTTGCTGTACGAGTCTCGGGACCAATGAGTCCTGTATGGGTCTGGGTTCTGGGCCGGGTATGGGTCCGGGTCCAGGTCCATGGACACATATGTTGACAAAGTTTTTTCTTTAACCTGATTTTCTTTTAAAACTTGTTTTTGGAAAAGATCCAAACTCAGAGTCTCAGGTCCGAGTCTTGGGTCTGAGTCCGGTTTGTGAAGTCTATAGAAGGTGAGCGGGTCCTATCTACAAGGACCTGGACTTGGACTTGCAGACCATGGCCTCCAGGGGGCGTCCATGGAAGACTCCTCAGCTCAAAGATTAAAAACAAGAGGACGACGCCGGCTCTACAGGTCTATCACTGTAGACCCGTTTCAGTCCTGGTTCAGACCCGGTTCAGTCCTGGTTCAGTCTCTGATGCTTCTGATTCAAACTTCTGTATTTGTACATTTCTCATTTTATAACGAGTTCGTTTTGTCAAACTCACTTTTGTAACCGACTAACTTTGTATCTATTATTATTAATATTATTATAAATATTATTTAATCTGACGCTGACGTCTTTGTGCCAAATATTGAGAATTTATATCTGAACCTTAATCAAACTCAAATCTGACATCGGATCAATAAAGTTTTATTATTAAAATAAAAAAGATTGGTGTAATTTCTACTTTTCGGACAAAAAAAAACAGAGAGACCAGACCTGAAAGAGAGAGAGAGCAGAGAGGGACCCGGGTGAGGTGCTTTGCTCTGAAAGAGGATCGTGTTTGTTCTGGAGGTTCTTTATGAATCCAGACTCTGAGAATAATCAATGACTCTTCTCGCTCCTGGATAAAGCCATGTTCCAGCTTCTTCCCTCGGGCAGAAGACCTCGGCTGCAAGACATTGGAACATGCTAACAGCTTCTTTCAGCTGTTCAGTCTGAACTCAACACTTAGATCTAGATTAAAGCTGTTGATTTGTTTCTCACTAACGATTATTGAAACGTTTATTGCTCAGTGAATAGAATCCTGGTCCCAGACCCTGTGTGTGGAGGCTGCAGTACCACTGGTGGCCTCTAGTCCATGTGGAGCTGTTGTAATGTAGTGGTGTGAAAGTTACGGCCCTGAGCTTTAGAGTCAGAGCAGGTTTGGACAGAGACCGTTACAGACAGAGTGATGGACGTGTTTAATGCAGCGAATCATTCACTAATGTCAGAGGTATGTCCTGAGCCCGAGGCCCGGGACTGCAGCTCCAGAACATCTGCTGTGGCAGGTCCAAGTCCAGGCCCAGGTACAAGCCCCAGCACAGGCTCAGGTCCAGGTCCCGGTCTTCATCAAGATCCAAAAACATTCAAATCATTGTATTTGTGTATCGCCCTAAACCGTCTCAGTGGACTAACAAACACAGAGCCATTGATCCATGAGGAGCGGGACGAACCAGGTAGACCCAGGACTGAGGCTGTAGACCCAGGACTGAGGCTGTAGACCCAGGACTGAGGCTGTAGATCCAGGACTGAGGCTGTAGACCCAGGACTGAGGCTGTAGATCCAGGACTGAGGCTGTAGACCCAGGACTGAGGCTGTAGATCCAGGACTGAGGCTGTAGACCCAGGACTGAGGCTGTAGACCCAGGACTGAGGCTGTAGACCCAGGACTGAGGCTGTAGATCCAGGACTGAGGCTGTAGACCCAGGACTGAGGCTGTAGACCCAGGACTGAGGCTGTAGACCCAGGACTGAGGCTGTAGATCCAGGACTGAGGCTGTAGATCCAGGACTGAGGCTGTAGATCCAGGACTGAGGCTGTTTCTCTCTCTTCTCCCACTGTTTTGCTTTATTACAGTTGTTCCTCAGATGCAGAGGATCCAGGACACTCTTGGTCTCTGCTCCTTTTGGACCGATGGCTCTGTGTGTTTTTATTTATATTTCTGAAGAATTGACAACTTTGTAAAGTCCTCTGAGGCCTCGTTTAGACGGAGACGCTGCAAAGCTATTAGTA